AGGCTCCAGTTCCCCAAACAACTTCACCAACTACTTGTAAAACCATGTGATACAAAAATAATGATAATAAGGAAGCAGCTGAGGGTGTCATAAAAAATACAGTGGCAAAGAGCTGTTACTTTGTCTTTGTATTGAAGTTCTTTAAAGGCACTTAAGGAAAATTTAGTTCATTATGTCACTACACAAAGCCACTCACACATTTCACTTTGGTGTTTAGTCTTACCTATAATCATACAAGTAACTGAACAGATACCACAGCAAACACAAAACGGGCAAAGAAAATTAAGAGAAATTAAAGCATTATTCAGGGCCCTGATGGGAAGGTCAAAAGCACTGACACCTCTCAGCCATGAGTTATTCAGACACAGGTGAGGAGAGCACCTTGCACTTGCAAAAATTAAGGTGAACTTTCACACCTGGAACTAAGCAAAATGCAAGCTGGTGACTGACAGACAATAGGCTGCTACACGAGGCAGTGAGCAGGTATGCAAGACACCAAAGAATTTTCTCACAACAGGGTGGGCTGAGGCCAGGTGTCATGGCAGAGCAGACCCAACTGCAGCTGCCAGCTCTTGAGGCTATTTGCCACATGTATTGTAAAAGGTGTGACTGTATAGCATCGACCTTGACAGAATCCACAAACAGAGAGCCAAACATACACACCTCTATCTGCATATGCCTGTGTGTGCTCAGTTAATGTATAGTACATCATGCTGGGGGGGGCCACAGATCACCTGGGGAAGCATCTTAAGGGACAGAGGTAAAGCCCACAGTACTGAGAGAATACACAGCCTGAGTTAAAGGCAATCTTCAATTGTGATTTTTCCCACAAAAAAAATCATAAGAAAAACCTCACAAAAATGATCTTTAAGGTCCCTTCCAATCCAAACTATTCTGTGACTCTATGATTCTATGTACTCAATTTAAATAAATCATCTAAATGTCCACAATTTAAACTGTTTGCTGATCTAGGTTCAAAAGCTTTGAAAAAATTCAGTGAAAATTATTCTTGATTTTTCAGTCCTTCTAATATTTTTAACTCCCTGTGATTTTCAAACCAAATACAACAGAACCAGAACAACCCAGAATTCATTTTGCATGGAGACCAAATCACTGCAGAATAGTGCTGACCATAGAGAGCTCCTATGATAAGGCCACCCAAAGCACCTGTCCCATGCCTGTTTGGTCCTCAGGCTTTCAGGCTTACAACCATTCATCCCTCTGCAGCTAGATATCTATCCTCATTCCTTCAACAATGGCAGCAAATGAATTTAGGTGAATAAGCTCCCTTGGGACTAGAAGTCAAGAAGGTGTATGTGCCTGTGGGACCTTAACACTTGCCACCAAGAAAAATCAACAACACATCCGCCTCCAGATGAGCGAACCAAAATTCCGTGTTTCCTGTTCAAAAACATTACAGGGTTTTATTTGAACCCATTTTCAAAAGCAGACTGAAGGGATGAGACCATTCAAGGAAGCTTAACTGCGACAGCTCCTTTACAATAAATCTCAACACTTGCCATAAAGCAAAGACATGAAATATGCACATCACAGAGATTTTTTTTTATATTTTATGTATGATGATTAGCCAAAAAGCTATCATATTTGTGTCAAAAAATAGTTATCTACAGCTGCAGTAGAATTCTTGCCTCTTCTGTTTTAAGCCTTGTGTCTTCCACTATCACAGGCAAGGCATAATGTTGCTTTTACTTAAGTACTACACTAGGAGAAAAGTCTCCTTCTTCCATGTAACTTTCACAACAATTTCCTTGTTATCTCTGCAGCAGATCTCGTTCTTGCTTGGCTTTCTCTGAGCAACACAGGTCACTATCAGCACACATTCACAACCAACAATGCAGCAAGTCTGGCAGAGCACATCCCAACTGCTTCATTCAAGGCAGCCACCCCATGAAGACTTTGCTCCCTTAGAGCTCAACAGGGGATTTGTTTATAAAGCAGAGTTTATGACAAGAAAATCAGGAATAAACTACTGTGTGTGTATAATGGAGAACAATTTACCTACTTAAATAATTTTATGTTACTGATAATTTTATGTTAATGTATTATTTTGCCTTATACCCCCTCATTTAAAAAGGCATTTTTATTTTAATGTTTTTCTTCAGAAGAGCCTGGATGCTGTTTTGAGCTGCTACCAGATAATGTTGACACCTCTGAACTTTCTTCAGTGAAAAACTAAGAAGAAGCTGGACATCATGTATTAAATCGGGGCAGTACATATTCACAAGCACTAGAGCAGTCAGCCCTCAACTTCTGCCTGAGAAACACCACCTTGCCACTATGCAGAAAGTGCACATTCTTTTTCGTTCCTTGTGTGTTCATACATTTTGTGAAGAATTTGAAAGGTGCACTCACAAACACACAAACCCCAACAAGACAAAGCATCTCCAAGTTTTACTTAAGGGGGGAAAAAAAAACCACCCCCCATTTCCCAGCCTGCGTCAGCAGTGCACAATGTACTCCCAGCCCTCGGTCAGTGCCAGGCTCTGAGGCGAACCCGCGCTCCCTCTGTCAGCAGAAAAGTCAGTCGCTAATCTGTGCTCATCTCTGGAGCGATGCTCCTCCTCTGCAGGGCCCTCGGCTGAGTCAGGCTCCGCTCCCAGCCCCACGCCTACAGCAGGTCCCCAGACCACGGGCAAACCAACGGCTCCCAAAGTGGAAAAACATAAAAGTAATCCTCAGTCACGCTGAGCCGTGGAGAATTGGTGATAAACAAGGCAAACGAGCTGCACGCCTCAGCCGGGCCAGTTACAGAGTTGACACCCAGTGGCTGCTGGTAACTCAACTTGAAAGTGTGTTTAAGAAACTCTGCATTTCCTTGGCTTAAGTGGTAAAACCTGCAAGCATGCAACTTTCAGAGCAGCCTGGCAGTTATGCAGCCAAAGGGATGGGGGCAACACGTGTCCCATGCATAACACGGAGACTATTTAATTATGGAAGGAGAGCCCATGTGTATTTACCCACCAGCAGTGGCAGGCTATATACTGCACTCTACCAGAGGGTACTGCAGCCAAAAATCCCACCAGGAGCAGCTTTCCCTGTCACAGCAGAGGTATGTGGGCATAGGATGTGCTCAATCTGTTAGAGGGAGGTGTGTGAGACTTCTTCCCTGCTGCAGCACCACGGGACAAGCAGCAATAAAATAGGAAGCGCCGAGTAAGTTACACAGCTAGCAGTGTTTCTTACTTGCTTGCCTAAACTTGGGAGCTATTTGGTTTTATTTTGGTTTGTTTGGCTTTTAGTTCTCTTCTACTCAATTCTGAAAAGGCACTTAAGGAGACTAAAATACCACTGGAAAAAAAAGCAGCACTTTCAAGTGACAAGTTACCTTATTTAAAAGCTGTCAACTATCAATCACTTCACTCCTATTAAAGTTTTTCATGACAGATGTCTTCAGACAATTATCCTTTAAATTTTTTAGTCAAACACATCAATAGAAACTAACAAACTACTTTCAAAAGCCCTAAAAACTTTCAGCTAAAACTGAATTACAGATTAATCTGCATTTCCTTAGCAGGAAACTTACTGCTAAAAACTAGAAATTTACGAAAAGCTTACTTCTAAAAAACAGAAATTTACGAAAAGCCGATGTAACAAACATTCCTAGCGGCGCAATTAAAAATACATAAATGCGGGATTTGAGTTGACACTTTTTTTAAAAAAAGAGATAAATAATACAAATACTAGAAAGTGAAGCAGAGAGCTTGATTGGCCCTAAGTGGAACTAAGTCCCGAACACACCAGAGTGCGCTGATGCCGTGCTAGGTGCTCGCAGCTCACACATAAATTTTCTGCCATCATTTAATCCCTCGCAGGGCGGAGGAGGCTCTGCCCGTACGCAGACGGCACAAGCTCGTCCTGACAAGGCTCCCAACGCAACAGTGTCACAAAACTCGGCGCTGCCTCCGCCGCGCACGGGGACACGGGTGGGTGACACTTTCTCGACGGAAGCCCCGGAGAGGGAGGATTCACTGGCAGCAGCGCTAAGCCTTTATCACCCACGGGGAGGCAAAGCTGGAGGGTACCATGCGCCCGGCGCTGCCACCGGGGCCGCACAGCCCCAAGCGCAGCTTCGCTGGCTCGCCCCGCAGCTGGCCGGGGGGCAGCCGGTGCCCGAGGGTCCCGCGGGACCTGGCGAGCGGGTCCCTCGGAGACCCCACCGTGGGATGCGGGCAGCACCGGCTGCGGCTCCGGCCGGCGCGGGGCTGAGCACAAATCCCAACAGGTTGCTCCCAGCGCTCCGCTCAGACGGCAGGGACTGCGCTGCGGGAGAGAGGGAAGGAGGGAGCTCCGTCCCACCACGTAACACAAGAAAAGCGCTCCCGCACCTCAACTTTAACAAAGCCATCAGGTCAAATACTGCGGCTTACTCATTAAACACACGGTATTTCTGCAACTCTTGTTCTGCCGCCGCTCTTCCCCCATCCCTGTTTGCCTCTGTCCCCGCTCCACCGCCCGACGGCAAAGCCCTGCAGCGCCAGGGCGGACGGCGGCACGGACCGGCCGCGTCCCGGGGCTGGGCAGCGCCGGAGCTGCCGCGGCACCCCTGGCACACGGGGGCTCTCCCCGGGCCCCGCCGGCCGCCCCCGGGCAGCAGGAGGCGGCGCCGCTCCTGCCGGCTTTGCCCGGGGACGGCGCCGTGACACCGCGTGAACTTTTGCTTTCGGCGGGGCAGGGCTGGGGGAGGCGGAGAGCGGGGGGGCGGCCCCGGTCCCTCCAGCGTCCCAGCGCCCGCGTTCTAGCGGGAGGGCTGGAACGCTTTTCTCCCTCAGGAGTTCTCCCTTTGGAAAGGTGAAAAAAAGTAGAAATGTGAGGTCAAACTGAAAGCGCGGAGCCGGAGCACTGCAGGCTGCGCAGCGGGCATCGTGCAGCCGGGGAGGGCGGCGTGCCCAGCCGCCTGCAGCGCCGCGGCTGTGCCCGGGGGCGGCGGAGCCTCCCGGGACCCCCCTCCGACGGGGCGTCCCCCACCACCCGCCGCTTACCTTCCAGCCGGCCGAGCTGTTGCTGTCGCCCTTATCCTTGAAATAGGGGACGCTCTTGACCATCCACTCGTAGATCTGGGAGAGGGTGAGCCGCTTCTCGGGGGAGCTCTCAATGGCCTTGGTGATGAGGTCTGCGTAGGACAGGTTGCCCCACGCGTTGCGCCGCGACGAGCTGCTCTTGCGGGGCTGTCCGGGCACGGGGCCCGGTGACAGACCGGCCACAGGCGGGGGCACCGGCGGCACCGGCGGCGGTCCCGGCGGGTGGAGGCGGCAGCCGGCCTCGGGCGCCGGGAAGTCCCCGCAGCGGCAGGCGGCAGCCTCCGGCGGGGCGGCGGCGGGGGGCAGCGGCGCGAAGTCCTCGCTCTCCTCTAGCAGGCTGAGGTTGCTGATGAAGTCGGCGCTCAGCGCTCCAGAGGCGGCGGCCCCGGCCCCGGCCGCGGCTCCGGCCGCCCCATCGGGCTGCCCGCCGCACGACGGCGCCGGGCTGGAAGTGGCCGAGCTGGGGGGGTTGAACTCCGGCCGCGGCAGAGGCCAGGTGCAGGAGCGGGGCCGCGGCAGCGGCTCGAAGTCGGGGTCGATGTCCACCAGCTGCGGTGCTTCGGCCATGGCGGGGCCGGGGCGGGAGCGCGGCGGGAGCGGGGCGGCTTGGGCTCAGCGCCGCCGCCCCATGCAGGCTCCGGACGCGGATCGGCGCGGCACCGACGGCGCGATCGCCAACTCTCCTGGCCCCGCCGCCCTAGACCTCCGGCCTGACCTCCCGGCCCCGCCGCCCTAAACCCTGCCCCTGCCCGGCTCCCTGATCCCTGCCCTCCGCGGCAACTGCAACTGCAGCGACCCGGCCGCCCGGCGCGCACCGACTGGAGCGACCGCCCCGCGCGGGCCCGCCTCCAGCCTCCCTCCTCCTCCTCCTCCTCCTCCCGGCGGGGAGGGACGGCCCAGCCGCGCCAATGGCAGCGCCGCGCCGCCGCCCGCCTCCCGCCGCGGGGCTGCTCCGGCAGGAGGGTGCCCGTGCCCCCCGTGCTGCTTCTGGGTGGTTTTTGTTTCCCGGCGGCGCAGCGGGGAGAGAAGGGGCGAGCGGGCAGGCGGCGGTGCCCCCCGCGGCCGGGGCTGCCCGAAGGCAGTAAGTGCTCGCACGGCGAGCCGCGGGGGGGGTGGTCACGCAAAATTCCCCCGCGAGTGTTTCTGCCTCAGTCGCTGCCGGCGGGGTCCTGCCTCCCGCATCGACGGGCCCGGTGCCGGGGATGAGCGGGGAGCCGGGAGCATCCCTCGGCTGCAGCGGGGCGGCTGCGTGAGCGGGGGGCGTCTCCCCGCTCCCACCGGCATCTCCGTGCGGGTGCTGCTGCCGCCGGCTGCCCGCCCCGCGGGGGCCCTGGCAGCCCCGCATGCCGGACCGGGGGTGCGACAGCTGCCCTGCCTCGCTCCCCCCGCCCTCCTCCTTCCCTGGCCGGCTCCTCGCCAAAAAGTGTCTGCACCTCCCGAAGTGATGAATCTCCCCTTCGGCTGAGCATGTTTTTGATACCGTGAGCGTGTGTTTTATTCCGCGAGCGTGCACGGAGCACGGGATGATTTCATCCTAAATCAACTATTGAGCATACTTTATATTTTTCCCGGCAAACCCTAGGGCTACTCTATTCATTAAGGTTTGTATTCTCCCCTTTCAATGAGGCAGCAGTCACAGGACACATCGCCTCTGCCTCCCCTGCCCATCAACATACAAAGATACATACATACACACACACACACACACACACATATATATGTGTTTGACTTAACACAGAAGTGTTATTCTGTTTAAATCTAAAAAGAGGACATTTGCTTAAGCTAGGGAAATAATCCCAAGAATGAGACACGACTCAACACCTTGCTCATACTGGCAAACCCTACATTTTAGAAAATCTGTTTTGTTTTCGGTAGGAGGAGTGCTTTTAAAAAACATACTTCAGACATGGCTTCGTAAGTCACAAAATTCACAACCAGCCATGGCATTTGACGTTGCATGTCAATGAACCACCCGAGCTGGGTAACTGTCAAAGCTGAGCCAGAAAACCTGTTACCCTCCCCTCCTCTCTGCATCAAGGCAGAAAGTGTTAATGTTATTTAAATGCAGTTCATTGTTCCTATAAAAATATTTTCTGAAAATGAATAACAATAATGAAGGGGAGAGAATACAAGGCTGGATCTAGGCCATGGTATGGAATTTAGTGTCAGCTCATACATCTAGATACTCACACTGTCTATTATGAAAACGCTTTTCAAGATACGTGGTGACACCTCACTATACAGTTTGTGCAAAATATACATAAGTGCAGAGTAACTGATCACATTTTAAAGCACTGGTTTTGTCATGTTCATTTTATCAAATGCCAAAGGTGATTTTACCTTATTATAGGTTGGCTGCTCATCAGATTTCAGACTTGCTTTGCCTTTAAGTCATTTCTATGTTTTGTCAATCCTTTAAAGGATTCAACCCACAAATTTATATAGTTTAGCCCACGGATTTTAGAAAACACCTTTCTTTTTCAGGCTTTTTTTTTTTCCAGTTTAAGAAAAAAAAAAAAGAAAATAAAAGAAAGTAAATAGTCCCAGTTCAACCTAATAACTTGCATGCCACGTTTCAGCTTGGAACAGCTTTATGTGGCAGTGTTACACAACTCGGCTGCAGTAGTTGCCCTGCAATAAGGGAGAGCACCCTGCCTTGGAGAAGCAGAGGTTATATAATGGTGAGACGCAGCCAGGGACGCGCAGCGAATGGATGTGTTTAAATGGGAGCCAAAACAAAAGAAGTGCTTGAGAACACAGAAACATTTTCTTTTTCTTTCCTTGGTGTCTGAAAAAAAATAAAAGGGGGGTCTAAGAGCCAGATTGGCACCCATCCTGCTAAAGGAAGTGGATTTATTACCCAGGCTTTCTTCTAAGGAGTTTTTTTAAATCTTGCAGTCCTTGCTCTTCTATTTTGTCCAAAGTAGGGATGCTATTCCCTGAACTCTATTGGTATATGCAGATGTTGAAAAAAAGAAAGCTTCCCTTTGTCAGATGCCAACTGTGAAAACTGGGAAGAAAGCTACTGTTGGGGGATTTTAGGAAGCCCTGGTGTATTTGTAGTTCAGCTCAGGCCATTCTGCAGGATAGAGGCTGTATTCCCCTTCCTTGGCCCTACATGACATTTCTGTCGCTCCCTTCACCTTCTCGACAGGGCTCTGCCACCATTGTGCCCCATGTCACTGACGTTCTTGCAGCTCAAAAGTTAGCAGTGCATACAGAGAGTGCAGACAGTAGTTTGCAGTGAGATGTGAGGGACATGCAGGTGGAAAAGATAATACCAGAACCTTCCAAATGCTACATTTGCTCAGCAAGCGGGGCCCTGTGACTCACAACGCAACAGGCAGAGCTGAGCTGCAGAGATTTTGGCTATTGCATGCCAACAGGTCTGCTGAAGGTTGGAGGAAGGATGAAGGCCAATGAGACAATGCTGTGCACTTTCCTGGGATGAGTAATTGGGGTAGTCTGCTCTGACTTTGGCAGAGCCACCCAGGTGAGTGAGTTCTTCTGTAGGGCCGCAGTCCACACACATGTGATCTACCACTTTTCTTTTTAGAATTTATTCTGTCCATCAAGAACTTGGGGATTGAATCAACAGACTTGAGAGTCAAAGCAACACATGCCATGCCCAATGAAAGTGTCTAACCCTGTCTGCACTGCTCTCCTAGTGCACTCCAGCACTGCTGACCACCCTTAGGCAATGTCATGTGGACAAACCCACCCATTCAGCTGCTGAGGGGAGCTTCCTGCTCCTCAAACAGCTCAGCACAGTGATGGCTCAGTACAAGAAATTTTACTGCATCTACAAATGATAGCATTAGGTTTATCTCATCTCCCACAATGCTGAAATGCTGATGGATGCACCACAATTCATTTTCTACTCCCACCCTCCTCCTACACTCCACCTTTTCATTTCTCTACTCCTACTCCTGCTCCCATTTTCTACTCCTCTACAATACAATATCTCCTATCAACCTTAGCATCAGCTTGTATTTTTTTTCAAATTTAAGGCCTGAAGATTGCCTTTTATCATCACTGAAATAAAGCACAGCCTTCTATTCATATTCTGGGTTTGAAGCAGCCAAAATAAAGGATCTGTGCTGTCTTTTTACTACTGTCTGTATAATTCACGTTCTGAGGTTTTGATCAAATTCAGCAGGAGATTACATGAAGTTGAAAGCACTCGTACTCTATGTACAGCTCTTTTTTTCTACACGTATGTGCATAGTGAGAGAGTACAAATGTTTCTACAGCATAAAAAGCAACAGTGAAACACCCAGTTTAACTGGGAGAAATCCCATTTTCACCCAGAGCTGGGAGAAATCCTATTTTCTGAGGAAGAATGAGGAAGTTCAGCACCCTCAGTTTCCTCCCCTGAGCCTCAGAGGGGCCATGATTTGCAGTGCATGTTTCTGAGCAGCCTAAGGTACCGGAAGGCTGGCACGGCACCTCAGCCACCTCCCCTCCCAGCCAGGGCAGCTGAGGGCTGCCCCACACAGAAGGGTTTGGACACAGCCTGGCTGAACAAGGCATTCACACTGCCCTGCCAAGGGAGTTCAAAGGGTGTGAGACTTCTTCCAGAGCCACTGGAGAAAGGCAGTCCCTCTTGCACGGCATTTCATGGCAGGAGCTTTACTGCTGTGAGTTATTTCCTGGGGCTGCGCATCTTTCCCCACCGACCGCACAAACCACAGATGGAATTTAAAGATCTGCTGATCCCTCACCACAGCTTGGTGAGCCCACTCCCTTTCCACCTGCCCTTTGCCTCCCGCCTCAGACAGCAGCACCCACAGGCAAGTCAGGGTCTGTCTGGCCCAGGGAGAGGTGGGTGTCACATTTAGGGTCACCCCGTGGTCAGTGGGGAGAAATGTGTTCTTCCCATGGGTGATTCACCACCCCAGATGGTGGAGCTGATCAGACATTGAGGTGCCAGGCTCTTACTCCAGGTGGTTCACACTTTCAGATAGCTGACTTTAGGCCAGCAAATCCCACTCATCCCACTTTCCATAGTGCATGGAAATACACAATCTTTGACCCCTCTGCCATTGCATCAACAGTGAGAAAAAGGCTGTGCACACAATGGCTCACAGGCTAACAAGGTGCTGCAGAGAGATGGCAAAACAAAGGGAAAATGGCTTGTCCTTCTTTGCAGGGGGGAAAGCTGCCCACTATGAATTCACATGATGTGCAGAGGACCTCATGGGTGAGGCATAGGCAGGGGCCAACTTTGGTCCAGGTCCTTAAAATAAAAAAATTCACACCACAGAGGTGTCAGGGTTCTTGCTGGTGAAGGGTTTGAAGTTATCTTGGTTTAGGTCCATCTCCTTCTACACATGGGGAAAAATCCTGAATGCTCCCATAGAGGCAGCAAGGCTCTTCTGGATTTACATCCATGTGGCTGGAACTGGGGCCACGTGCTGACTGCACTGCTTGCTCACCCCTCTGGACATACTTCAGAGTTGAGAGCCGACAGATCTTCGCACAATGTGGTGCAACTCCAGCCTCCAGAAAGCCTTCAGGCAGCCCACCCCCTCTTTTCAGAGGAGATGGGGAGCTGTGGTTGGTGATAGCAGAGCTGCCCAAACAGCCAACGCTTCACCCTTCATCTCCCCATGGACTGCTGAAGGGAGCAGGAGTGGTTCA